CCTCTGACTAGTGATGGTGTGAGAGTTAGAAGACACTTTTGTTCCTCATTGCCACTTTCCCTAAACATCTTCTTTTCCTTTGAGATTCATGATAGCCAAATTTACCACCCAATCCAAATCCAGGTCATTGTTATCTCTTGCTCTCTCAGGACATTTTCCTTCTTTCCTCAATGGGTCCAGTGCTTGGTTCAAGTCTTTCTCTCCGGTCTCCTGCTTTCACACTAGGCAACTTCAATATACATACTATCCTAATTTCCCAGTTCCCCAGTCTACTAAATTCTCATGACTTATTCCTCTACTCTATTTTAACTACACATAGAGATGGTCAAACCCTTGTCATCACCCACTAGTGTTCCACTTCCATGTTCATGAATTCCAAAATTCCTTTGTCTAATCAAAATCTTTTATCATTCCATTTTCCCCTCTGCCTTGTAACCCTAACACTGCCCTTTGTCCTCATCATGGCCTCTACTCCCCTTATTTTTCAATTCTTTCATAGGCATCATCCCTGAATTGGCTACATTTCCTCCCTTTCCTATTTCAATCTCTTAGTAAACCAACTCACCTTTCCATTATCATCCATCCTTGATTCCAATTGCTGATAATGCTTTGCCAAGCTCTAGCCATGGAATATACCCACTACCTGCATGCTTCGCTTCTGTTCACATGCTGCTAAATGGAGCTGGAAGGAAAGCCAAAACCATGCTGAATGGGCACACTACAAATACATATTATCTAATCTCAGTTGGGCTCCTCATTAAGCTAGATAATGGTTTTATTCCTTCCTAATTGACTAATTATCTCACTACCCATAGTGGTTGCTCTAAACCTTCTCATCTCTTCCCAAGCTTCGCATGGTACCCCTTTCTTCCCAATTCTCTCAGATGAGGGCCTCATTTCATACCACAAAAAAAAATTGAGATCATTTAGGGAAAGCTCCCCCTTTTCTCCTCTTCCTCATCTCAACGTTACTTAAACATTTTCCTCCATTATTTCCTTCACTATTGGTCTCAGGAGAAAAAAATGACCTTTATCTTTGCTACAGTAAACCCCTCCTTTCTTGCTATGTACAAACAAGCCCTTATCACCTCCAACCTTAAAAACCTTCACTTGGTCCAACTATCTATGGGAGATACTGTCCTATATCTCTTCCCTATTTCAGGACAAACCTCTTGAGAAAGTGACTTCTCTTCCTAAACTTGGTCCTATGTTTAGCTTGTTAATATATATTTATTTGCTTGTTGTGTCCCCCTATTAAGCTTTGAACTCCTTGAGGACAGGGACTATTCTTTGCCACTTTTTGTGTCCCTAGTTTTTAGCACAGTGCCTGGCACATAGCAGACAATGTTTCTGACTGAATGAGATTGTAATCAGAAAAGGGAATTTCAGAGTTCATTAACATGGAGGTGGTGCATTTGCGTTTACTTGTTGTTCCCTAGGCATTTAGGTGATGCAATAGACAGAGAGCAGGGCCTGGAGTCAGGGAGTCTTGAGTTCAAATCTAGCCTTAAACACTTATCAACTGTGTGTTCTTGGGCAAATCATTTAACCTGTTTGCCTCAGTTTCATCAACTGTAAAAAGGAAAAGAACAGCACCTACCACAAAGGGTTGTTGTGAGGATCTGAGACATTTGTTAAGTGCTTGGCACAGTGCCTGGTTCATAGTTGGTGATACATAAATATCTATTTCCTTCTTTCCTCCCCTTCCCTTCTTTTCTGGTACACCAGTAGTATCAAACTCAAATACTAAGGGAGCCACTAATCTGCACTTAAGGATCCCTTTCAACCTGCACAAGGTGACTTAATTTTAAAATATAATGCTATCTATGTTTTGCTGTTTATTTTGTTAAACATTTCCCAATTCCATTTCAATCTGATTCAGGATACATCAGGAAGTGTTGTGGGCAGCCAACCCTGCTGGACGCCTCTGCTGGCCACAACATTCCATTCCCCATACTTGGAATGCAGTCCCTCCTAGAGGTGAAAGCACTACTTTTGTTAGTGCTTTCTCTCTCTGAAATTATTTTGCATGAATGTATCTGAGCAAGTTGCATCTCTTTGGTAGAATTTAAGCCTCTAGAGGTCTGAATCAGCCAGGGGGAGGGGAGGGGTTTGGAGGTGTGAAGGAATTTTCATTTTTTGTTTGTATTCCCCACAAAGTGCTTAAGAAATTCTAGAACTGAATTGTAAAAGGTGGTTTTTTGGTTTTTTTTTTTTTTGAGAGACTGTAGTATAATGTGGCATAGTCAGATCTGGATTTGAATCGTACCTCTGGAATTTGCTAGCTTGGTTATAGCCTCTTCTAGCATCAGGGTTTTTTTGGCCTTAAAATATAGATAATATGCCTCATAGGGTTTCTGTGAGGATCAATTAAACCATATGCATGAAAGTGCTCTGTACACAGTAAACATTTCATAAGTTAATGTTAGAAGACCCCCTTTTCTAATCCTTTCTTCTTGCCCTCATCAAAATAAGATGTCTGGAAATGGTCTTCTTGTTTGTTTGTTTATATTCAGAATAAAAAAAGAATAAAGAAATATGTCTTTTCAAATTTTGAAGTAGTAACTTTGACTAAACTACTGAGTTTACAACTCTTTTAAGCCTCAATTTCCTCATCTGTATAATGAGAATCTCTTTCCCAGGGTGGTTGCGAAGATTAAATGAGATAATCACTCTGCACATCTAAAGCACTACATAAGTATTAGTTATTATTATTATGTGAGCCTCATGAGAATTGGCAACACAAAACAATCAGTTGGTATCATTATCTGTGGCTGAATGTTTCAGTGCTTCTATAGCCTGGGGGTGCCCTATAAATACATATACTCTGGTCTTTAGAGAAAGGAGCAAATGAAACTTCTACTTACCCCATTGTAAGCATCTCACCCCATGAACTCTGAGGCCCACGCAGTTTGTGACCCCAGGTTTCAACACACATTTGTATGGATTCGGAAATTCTTCCTTCCAGACTTTTAAAGGATGACCACTGTCTTCGTCAGATTGGAACAGTTCATTTAAAGAGCATTTATAAATAATTCCCAAAGAACATCATTCCTTTTGTTATGTGTTAGAAATGTAATGAGTTTTAACCAAATTACAAATAGGACAAAGGGTTCAGCGCCAGGAAGAATCCCGTGACACTTCAAACTAAATCCAGATATCAATTCAGCCAGGCTTTTAGGCAGCTTAGTGTTTTCACAGGTTTCTCAGGTCTCACTCCATAAGAAAGGTTGCTTCCTCCTGGACAGGAAATACTGGAAATCGCCCAGCATCAATGTGAAAACAAAATAAAAAAACAAAACAAAAAATTTATCCCATCTTCCGTGATGGAATCACTCAGAGATAGCATGTCAATAATTACGTACAGAAGGCTTCTTTTGTTTTCTCAAACTCTACACCCTTAGCATACAGTAGGTGCCTTCAAAAATATCTGTTAAGTTGAATAAGGCCTATTTATTACAGGCTTAATTGAACCAATTAAGTTAATGCTTAGAGTGATTTGCAAGTTTCCGAGCATCACCATATGTAGCAATTGGAGCATTCATATAACTACATGTGGTTCATATAACATATCAAAGAATCAGTGTAGCAAAGCATCAGATGTCTTCCTCAAGGCTGAGTTGCTCAGGTTTGGAATGAGATGCTGATAAAATAATGGGAAATGGTAGAGATTTCAGACTGAATTGATGTGATTCCTCTGGTTGAGGTTCAAGTCACCAATATTTTCATTGCTTCAAGGATCATATCAAACAGAATAAAAATTAGCCAGTCAAAATTTTCCAAACTGCCTACTATGTACCTCAAAATATGAGGTTTATTTATAATCAAGAAATAGACAATTCTGGCCACAGTAATAAATCAACAAACTCAAGTATTATTGATTGTACACATTGAGTTCAAAGTGTATACAGGGGACCAGAGTTCTATTTCTAATTTAGTTAAAACTGATTAATTTCTACCACTTAATGAAAAGAATGATGCTTTTTGGGAAATGTTTATAAATGCTCTTTAAACAAACTCTGTTCAAATCCAACTAAGACGGTGGTCATTCCTTAAAAGTTTGGAAGGATGAATTTCTGAATCCATATAAATGTGTGTCAAAACCTGGGATCACAAACTACTTGGGCCTCATAAATTGATAGGATGAGATACTTAAAATGGGGCAAGCAGGTAGGAAAAATCAAAAAAGTCTTCTTGGAATTAGGGTTTCAAGCTCAGTCTTGAAGTTGATGAACAAGGTACCCAAGAGACTTTTAGAATCATAGATCGTAGAAATGGATTGAGAAATCATGTAATCTGGTCCAACTGCCTGACCTTCAGTCACATGATCAAACCACTATCACTTCAGGCAGCACTCTGGAGTAATGGATAGAGTGCTAGACTTGAAGAACCTGAGTTCAAATCCTCCTCTGATGCTTGCTTGCAGTTTGACTCTGGGCAAGCCTCTTAACTGCTCTTGAGTCTTAGCTGTTTCACTAGTATGATGGAGAGGATACCTACAGCACTTACCTCATTGGGATATCGTGAAGCTCAACAGAAGTGATAGATATAAAGCATTCTACAAACTTTAAAATACTCTTTGATGTCAGCTACGACAAACACTATTACCGGGCAGGAAGAGTGGCACTGAGGGGTAGGTTGTGCGGAAGATCCAAAATCAGCTTGTTTGAGTGGATGGCCTGAATAAGGGAGCAACAAGAAATGAGGCTGGTGAAGAGGACTGTCAAATGATGGAGGGCTTTGGAGGAGAGGTTGTGTTTCAGTTGTGACTGCTAGAATCTTGAGCAAGTGACATGATGAAAGCCACGCTGAGGAATGTTGAATTTGCAGCTCTTTGGAAGACAGAATGGGAGGGGGAAGAGGCAATCCTGGAGGTACAGAAACTACGGCAGGAGTCTAGACATAAGGGAGGAAATGAGGAGGGTTGTCCTTCTGTGAGTGAGGACTGCTACTAGCCTACAGTTGTTTTATGTTCTCTGTCAAAAAACAAAATCTCATGCTTATACAGAGGATACAATTTTATTGGCAACAAAGATTTCTACATACAATATTGCACAAATTATAAATGGATCAACAAAATAATATTTACTACACAAGTTGTTACCATCACTTACATAATATTACTTCTTAAAGTTTTGTGCGTGTTGTGCGTCAGGTTCCTATGAACAGGATGCAAGTGAGCAGGATATGAACGTGACAATCGTATTTAAAGGAACTCAAAACTACTTCAGTTCTGACAGTGTTAACTTTCAAACACGAAGCACAGATACTATCACACAAAATAAAGCATTCAATATGTCAAACCCTGCAGAATCAAGACCTAGGATATAAAATGAACACTGTCAGAAAAAACAGTGGGGAAGAGTATTAGTTTACGTTCATTTTAAAAAAGGCTATTCCTTTAATCTTCCAGCAATAGAAGTTAGGATTCAGAAAATATTAAATTTGAAACTTTAGAAAAGACAACCATATTCTACTGAAGGGGAGCACAACAGCTATAGTAGTCACACTAATTTTTTTAAAAAGGATTTTCAGGTTGCTCCATTACTCACTCTCTTTCAGTTTTTGAACTGTGGTTGTAGAGATGTAAAGAAAGAATGCAATTAAAACAACTTTCTCTACAAATTCTGTCACTTAAAGAAAACAGTACTCCACTTAACTGAAGGACTAAGGAATTCAGTTAACAAGTCAACCAGCTAAAAAAGTCACTTTCTTCTTTTCACAGTCAAGACAAATACAGATCCTGCACTTCCCTCTACTGCCTAAAAGCATAGACACAGACAATCTGTATGACTTCTGAGGAGATAAGGGACATGGATCTTTAACGAGGCACTGTGGCCCAGTGGAAAGCCTGTCTGTGAGTTAAGAAACTTCAGTCTGGTCCTGGCTTTGCCATTAGCTAGTTCCATGATCTCAAGGACGTGACCCTGGGGAGGCTGCCCCACCGTATCAGGCCTTTGGGCGCTGGACTAGATGGCATATACGATCCTATCCAGCCCTTAAATTCTAATTGAGCTTAGGACTCATGCTTCAGGAAGACAACTAGAGTGGAAGAAACAAGGAGTTAAAAATTATGGACCTGCTATATATATTTTTAGAAAGAGCTGTCACCTAGAAATTCTTTACAGTGTTCCTAAAAACTCTTATCTATACTCAGTGACCAAGACTGTTACAAGTTAAGGCCTCCTGATAAAGAAAGCTTTGATAAACATTTTAAAAGGCTCTGACAAATTTGGCTAGGTGAGAGATCTCCAAAGTCCTCTGCCACCAGGAGTCAGATTTTCTGCCTCTGAATTTTGAGAGTCAAAAATCAGGAATTGAAATGTAAAAATGATGAATCCCACAATTATACCTGTCAGATAGCCACTGTGTGCACAACTAGGTGAAATGCAAGACTGAATCTAATCAATAAGATAAGGACAATGAAAATTTGTTAGAAGAGAAATAACAAATGGAAGTATAAACTCAGAATAAGGATTGTTTTTTTCTTTATAGAATAGTAACAGTGCTCCTCAGAAATTTTCGAGAACTCAATCTGTCACCTAAAAGATGGTGCAAAGACCACTTTTTCTGGAATTTTACACAATGGTTTTATTTTCAAAATGCATTAACTTTATTTTCCTCATAAGGGAGCCATACACTGCAAGGCCCAGAACCTGAAAGAAACATGATTTCTTTAGAAAGCCACATGGTTGAGCACGATCATTCTTGGTACTTAATGCCAAAGTAGTCCTGAGTTTTCAAATGTTAAAGCTTTCTCCACAGCCACAAGTTCCTTTGATGTTTGGGTTATTGAAAACAAATTCACTGGACAATTTGTCTTCTACATAGTCCATTTCTGTTCCTAAAAGTGTTAGCTGTGCTTTCTTTTCGATGAACACTCTAATTCCTTAAGGAAAACAAAACATATGTTACACAGTGCCTGACCATCCTCATAGAGCTTGCCAAACCAAAGCACAAGCGAACTTCAAACAGAAGCCACAAAGCTAAACAGGAAGCTTTGTATATGTTTTAGTAATTCTGTCAAAGTGGTTAGTTTCCTATTTTTTTTCCTTGTACCAATATTACAACTCATATATAAAAGCAATTACAGTAGGGTAGCTGGAGTTCTGCATATGAGCAAATCACTATTTCCATGTAAAACACTGATTTACCTTTCATTGCATTCACCTGACTTTAAAATGTAAGCAATAAATTTGTAAAGGTTGCCCAAGAAGTAAGTATCATATCCTTTTTTTTTTTCAATAATAGGCTTGGCTATTCCACTGTTTGATTTTGAGCTATGTACAAAGACTGTTAACTAATATTGCTATTTTAATGATATTGGTAATTATCATGGAAACTATAATGAGCCAGCTACACAGATAAAATACAAAATCTGGCCTAACTTGAAGACACCGATATTTGGTAGAAAACCTGGACCAAAAAAACCACACCAAAGTATGGTTGCTTTTCTTTTTATAAAAGATTAAATATTATTTAAACATAAATCTTATTTCTGAAATCTCTTCCTTTTGTTTCAAAAATAAAGTTATTTTAAGCAAATTAAATTTTAGAACTAAAAAAAAAAACAAAAACAACTGGTTTCATTAAGGGTAGACCCAGAACCTTCTGTTACTCACTACAGCCTAAAGAAACAAAAAACCCATGAAAAGGGTATGTGGCAAAAGATTTGCATGCCTCAGATATAAGAAACAATAAAATGAGTCAAATTTCAGCACCTAAGGTACGTAACTATGTTAAATCCACGGTACTTCATACCATACGTTCCACACTTGAGTTGGAAGTTTTCTAGAAGGTGAAGAATTATTCATTTGTCTTTCAAAGGAGCTTTTCTGAGTTGTTGGCCAGCTAGCAAAACACATTTCCTAGTGATAGAAGCCTAGAAGTGAGGCCAAGAAAGAACACAAGAATTGCCCCAAAGCACAGGTTGGCACCATTCATTTGAACAGTTGTGGGGCTATTGCTTCAACCAAAAAAAAAAAAAAAAAAAAAAGGTTGTTGGAGGGTACAAGGAGAAGCCTTAGCTTCCTATAAACTGTCTAAGAAAAGCAGACAAATGCAGATGAGTGAAATGACTTTTTATTATTTAAAAAGCTTAACAATGCTGGCTCATTAGATGAAATAACATATGCTTCATGCAGTGAAGGGTAGGATTTGGGGGCACATCAAGTCGCCATGCATTTTTAAGGAAAGACTTACCATCCTGAACAACTTCTTCATCAGACTCTCCTTTAGTCTTGGTATATTCTAAAGTGTAAGACAGTCCATTACAACCTCTGGTCCGGACCCCAACTTTCAGACCTACCTGAAAGAGAATTTAAAGTGCTTTTTCTTACACATAAATTTTGTTTTTATGTAGGAAGACACAGACAATAACACACTCAAAACTCAGCTACCAATTTCAATTTATCCATATGTAAACTAGAAAATGTGGACAAGCATTATTTCTTTGGTTAAAATAGCTCTGTGTAAAGACTAAGCAGGAATAAGCTTCTTTTCATTACAAGGGTTAATAATTATATTCTGCTCCCTAAGGAAAGCATTTATAATAGAATACCTCTTTCTATTACCAAAAAACCTAATGAGCCCCCAGATATTTTAAAATGTTTCTTTCACAACTCAGTAAAGACAGCTTTATTTCCTCTTAATTTTATGTTAGTGTAACACCCCTATAGAGGTACAGAAATTGTTACTTGTATCTACTTGTATCTTCAAGATACAGGGAAGCTTGGAGAGTAACAATTTTACTCTATGAGGTTTGAGTCTCTCTACAGAGAGACTGAAAAGACAGAGTCAGATGAGGGAAAACTTTTTCCTTGGGAGAACTAACTGCTTAACTCTTCTATGGTGAAGAAACATTATGAAGAGAATTCTGTGAACTGTCATCTGTGAAGAGGCAGAAGAAGGTACAGAGCAAGAGGATGAAGAAGATTGTTGAGAAGAGGCTTGTTATCTGGAGGAAACTAAATGGTAGAACCATGTTGTATAAATGAGAAGCCAAGCTGTAGTAATGGTCAAAGGTAACTTCATGATCTTTACACACTGTAAACAATCATTTACACCTTTGTGCTAATATTAACCCATTCAGACATAGTATAGCCAGCAACTTTAATTATTTATTTAAACTGAATAGATAAAGGGTTTTGATTTATAGATATGAACAACTATTTATGGGAAAAGAGGTTTCTTTAGCTTATTAAATAAGTAACATTTAATAGACTGGGGTATGGTGAGGTCTACAAACTAGCTGAATGAGAGAGACGTGCAATTTTTGCAATCACTGAGGAAATATCCAAACATATGGCCTGGGTTATTTTAGAACTCAGGACCATGAGAACGGTAATACACATACAGTGTGGTAGGCCCCAGACCCCTGCTACATTAGTATCTGGTCTAAGCTCCCATTAAAAATAAACAAACAACAAAACCAAAAATTCCGAGGCCCAGCTCGGTGATGTAGTCTGTCCAGTCACACACATCAAATTAGCGGCAGAATTGGGGTTAGACTCTCCGGATACTTGCTCCAATGGTCTCTGTACTAAAATAATCTCCTAACAAACTTAAGCCCAGAAGTCTCCAGGTGCCTCTCCCCAGGAGGGCTACTTGTTTTTCTATTGCTCCCCCTTCACATAACAGAGTCTGTTTAAAATGAGAGCCTTGGGCACTAGGAAACATATGGCAGTCCCCAGAACCCCATGGTTTTTGTCCCCTTAGACTGTTCTGCTCTAAAGGGCCACCTCCTTTTAAACTAAACAACAAAAAACCCAGACTTCAATAAAACTAAGTAAGAATAAATTAATAAGGATTTACAATTAAAAATGAATTTTAAAATACAATGTATATCCACAAGTTTATTAATTTCTTTTCTCTGTATCTTCTGTTTTATTCACTTCTATATTTCTGTCCATAGTTTTCTTTTTACATAGTTCCAAGAAGGATGTATACTATTTTTATGGTTTTGCTTTCTTCAGTTACCAATTTTTTCACATTTGCTTTTCCCCCCAAATCTGATGTTCTTCCTAATTTTTCTATTTCTGCTAATGGCATTACAACCCTTCCCATAACTCAGAATTAAGACCTGTCTTTTGAGTGCTCCTCTCTTTCCCTTAAGAACTAAGCAGTTGTTAAGTCTTATCACTACATTTCCTTCCACCTGTCCTTTTTTCTTCATTACCACTCTAGTTCAGGGTGCTATTATTTACTTGGATTTACTTCAATAGGCTTATAAACTGTTCGTCCTACAGTCTTTCCTCTCCAGTCTATCCTATATATACCTATACCTTTGATCATTTCACACCCCCTACCCAAAAGTTCTTCATCTATACCTTTCTGCTTAGATAGAATACCATTTCCTTGGAGATCAAGATTTTGTCCCAACACATTTCTCCAGCCTCCAGCCTCTTCTGAATTCACATGCTCCACATTCCAGCCAGACTAGGACCCCCTAGCTATTTCTCAAGCACAGCTTGCTCTCTTCTGCCTCCATGCTTAAAGACAACCTGACAGACAGTTCATGTTCACACAGGGATAAATAATAATCTATGTTACGTAAGGTTCTGAAGCCAAAGTAGGCATCACACAAGAAGACACAACTAAACAGGAAACATAATTATTGGGAATGGATGTGGACATTTAAAAGTAAATATGTTGTATTGCAAATTGCCACAGAATATAATTTTATATGAAAACATCTGATTCTCTGTGTGTGTGTGTGTGTGTGTGTGAGTGCGTTTGTGTTTTGAGACTAGGTCTTCCCTATTTTTTCTAGGCTACAAGTGTAGTGGCCATTCATGGGCTAGATCCTAATACTGATTGGCATGAATTTTAAACCCGTTCCATTTTTCACCTGAGCTATTTTTACCTGGACTGCTTTCCCCATCCACATGCAGCCTCGTGAGCCTCCATGGTTGGGTGCTCACCACACTAGTGCCAGACTTTACGTAGATACCTAATTGGCTTTAACCCCCGTGGAGTTCAGGACTCCCAAACTCCAGAGATCCACCAACTTCAGTCTCCCCCAGTAGCAGGGATTACAAATGGACACCTGCCTGATGGTACTACATAGATTTGTTTAGAAAGCAAACAAACACACTATCCTACAGTTTTAGGTAAAAGAGCACATTACAAACTCCAACATTTCTTACTGGTATGATAAAATGTCTCACTAAGGGCAAGAGCTAGTTAGTGGCAGAGCTGGCATTAGAACCAGGAGTCTCCTGATTCCTAGGCTTACTCTCTGCTATCCTGCACTGCCTGCTACTCATTCTATAGACTGTGTGAAGGTTCAGAATTAAATGAACTGGACCAAGGTCACTTAAAAGGTTGAGTACAAAAGACAGGTCTGATTCTTACCTTCTCCAGATCTGTATTATTCAATAGTAGTTATAAATAAATAAACCCACTCTATCTTTTGCTCTCTAATCTTTTGAAAGCTTAATTGATTTTAAATGGAATGACAAAATCCAAATTCAAATGTGTTTGGAAATCGTATCTAATTACCAGTTTCTTTCTCCCTTGGGTCAATCAACATGTATTTATTAAGTGCCTACTAAGCCTCAGGCACTGTGCTAAGTTCTGGGGATGTCCTAACAAAAACAACTCCTGCCCTTAAGGAATTTACATTCTAATGTAGAAGACAACATGCAAACAATTATATACAAAATATATTCAGGATATAGTTAAGAAATGGATTTACATCACTTATTCTAGGTAAATAAATTATGAATTTCAATCATGAAGGGACCCTTGATTGTGGAGTCCAAACTGGTCATTTTTATAGGTGAGGAAAGGAGGTCCCAGAGAGAGTACTCTGCCATAAAATTTAGAATTCTTTCCACTATGTATTGTCATACCTGGCCTAAGTGTAAAATAACTTCCCAACACAATCTGTATTTCACGGTCACACATCATTTCCTACTTACATTTTCAGGTTTATCTTTAAGAAGCTGTTTTATCTTATTCACAGCTGCTGGTGTCTGAAAAACAAAAGAAAATTAAATTTTGACTTAGATATCTACTCTATCTTCTCCACAGATTTTAGTGTCTTTCTCAAAAAGACTCATAATAATAGCTCATTATTATTCACACAGGAGTTTAGAATTTATAAAATAACTTTCCTCATTACAGAAGTGAAACAACTTGCCCAATGGCAAACAAAGGCACTAAGTTCCAGAACAAGGAACAATGAGTCAAACCCTCTTTCTACTGTGCTGGGAACCACATGAAAAAAAAAAAACTTGGTTACATTCTACTTTTCACGTCTTGTGCTTTATATTTTAAAGCAGACCTACCCAACTTGATAGTAGGTAGGGCCCAAAATTAAAATAAGCTAAACTTCTTTGGGCTGCAGATAGGTTTTTAGCGGTTCACTTTCCAATAAAGATATAATTAATGATTAAACTATTTTGCAAATAAACCATAAATATGGGAAAAAAATGCAAATAAAAAAGGGAAATCCAATTTAAATAAATTAATTATACTTATTACTTAAGATTTTTATTTATCATGAAATCACATTAATGTTAAAAAAATTACTTTGCCAAGTAGAACAAGTTTCAATACATTTTTCCGATTTTCTGTTTACCTTTAGTTAATGGGATGCATTACATTTCTTGTCAGCAATCAGTTTATCGTACTATGGAAACATGTGTGAAATCGATTTCTTTAGAAATCTGAAAAATAACGTTAGTAGCTGCCTCATTTTCTGAATTTACTTTCTAGAAAAACCATTGTTCCCCAATGAGATTTTTCAACAATTTGGACACTTTAATTTGTTTTTCATTGGTGCCCAATTTGCTTAAGTCAGGATATTTTGATTTCAAACGGCGAAGAAGACTGTATTCCTTTGGAATGGCTATTACTTCTCATAGTATCTATTTGTCCACTCCAGACTAAACACTCTGTATTTTAATTCGATCTTCCATTTCTTTTTATCACCCATTTTACAAAGTCACCCCAAAAACTTTAATGTTAGAACCAAAAAATCTCCACAGCAACTGCTTACATACAAATACTGAACTGAGTGTTTGACCTTGGAGAGAGTGCCACACACTCACGTAACTTGGAGAGCAGCCACGAAGTGACAGAGGGTAAGAAGCCCTTGCACTGCTGCCACTCATCAAGTAGGGGACATAAGCTGTGCTCGCACATGGTTGCACTCACTTTGTCTCTCTTTAATGCCAGTAATGACTGAAAAGAGCAAAAAGATACAACTCTTGCTTCTCTCAGACTAGAGATAGACTGCTGACGGTTGGTTGTCGAGGGTCACGTGACAAACAGGAGAGTGCACAATGGTAACGCCCACCCGCCAAGTTACGTGATGGGCGCGATAGTGACTAGTGGAAGGTGGGTTAAGTGGGGTAACATCTTTACTTTCTTTTACATCCACTACATTTTTTGTGGGCTGCCATGTTGTATAGGCCTGTTTTAAAGTATTGTACCCAACACTCAAGTCTTATTTTTTTTGAAAGTCTACTAGCAACAATGTATCACCTACTAATTCAGTATTCACAACTGAAAATTGTCCAAGTCTGCCCCTTTTCCTCCCCTACTCCTAGGCACTGGGTTGGTGGCAGAAGGATTGGCAGAATCTACGGCCTCGAGGCTACACGTGGCCCTCTAGGTCCTCAAGTTCGGCCCTTTGACTGAATCCAAACTCCACAGAACACACTTTAGTCAAAGGACCGTACCTGAGGACCTAGAGGGCCACATCTGGTCTTGAGGCTGCAGGTTCCCCACCCCTGGATTAGGGTCTTTCAAACATCTTAAAAAAAAAAAACTTCAAAAAAAATTACGAACTTAATCATCAACAAGACATTTCAATAAACAAAGCGTAAAAAGAAGGCTGTATATGAAACTGTTATGAAGTTGTTATATAGTTTATTTTTTTAATGTGTAAACTCAATTTAATAAAATATTAATAAAACTGCCCTGTTCTATCCCCTTCTGAACTGAAGCATCTTTTTTGGAGGGGCTCTGAGATAAAAGATGTTATCATATACATTATCTGATAGTGATAGGTGATGACAGTGATAGTTCATGAGTGGCAAACCCAAGCTTCAGGTTTACATCAGTTTATTGCTAGACCGCTAGTTTCACTGATGAGTCAAAAATCCTGGATTCAAAAAGCACAAATGCTTCGGTCCATGAAGTACCAACAATAGAAGGGTGTATGGACTGAGACATATCACACTATATTCATGGTTCTGTCACCCTCTTCCCCCAACATTTTTAATAGAGGTGAAATCTGATTAAAATAAATAATATCAAGTCTGGATCAACAAAATACATTTCTAAATCTTGGGAACAGAAAACTCATTTAGAAATTTAGATTTGGACGATGCCTTTCCAAAGTACAAAAACTTTTGAAAGGCATCGTCCAAATCTAAATTCTGCAATTCTACTAAAAGAAGCAGTGAGGAGGTGTGTGTGTTAAGGGGCATTAATATCTTAAAGGAGTTATAAGGGGAACAAGAAAAAAGGAGAAAAGGATTGTAGACAGAATGAACAATTTAAGGAAGTTTAAGGGAAAAAAGGAAGCTATTTGGGAAACTAGAGAGACCTAGGAACAAAGCAGGGAAAGGTGTGGCAAAAGAAAAGGAACTGTAGTGGCTATGAATAGGTGGGGTCAGTTTGGGGAGATTGTTAAGAGTACATGAAAAGTATGGAATGGGCAAGAAACAAAGTTGTGTGATGGTGAAGGCAGAGGTTGATTAGTTACAGAAGGATATTAACATCTGCCTTCTAGAAGCCAGAAAAGGGACTGCATCCTTAGTGAACAGAAGAAAGGGTACGACCTTTTAGATGAAGCAGAGAAAGGGGACCGGATGACCTCTAAGGCACTTCCCAGCTTAAGATTCTAGGTCCCAGATGATGACAAACAACAAGCCCAACTGCTGAACGGAATGAAGAAGGTGACTGTCTGGGTCAAATACAAATAACTATATCAGCAGGATCTCTCTAGTTTCCCAAATAGCTTCCTTTTTTCCCTTAAACTTCCTTAAATTGTTCATTCTGTCTACAATCCTTTTCTCCTTTTTTCTTGTTCCCCTTATAACTCCTTTAAGATATTAATGCCCCTTAACACACACACCTCCTCACTGCTTCTTTTAGTAGAATTGCAGAATTCAGATTTGGACAATACCTTTCAAAAGTTTTTGTACTTTGGAAAGGCATCGTCCAAATCTAAATTTCTAAATGAGTGTTCTGTTCCCAAGATTTAGAAATGTATTCTGTTGATCCAGACTTGAAATTATTTATTTTAATCAGATTTCACCTCTATTAAAAATGTTGGGGGAAGAGGGTGACAGAGCCATGAATATATAGTGTGATATGTCTCAGTCCATATACCCTTCTATTGTTGGTACTTCATGGACCCAAGCATTTATGCTTTTTGAATTCAGGATTTTTTTTATTAATAACTGCAGTCAGCTTGCTCCATTGCTGTCCTCAATGTCCAGAAAGTAAAGGAGCCTCACCAGCATGTTGGGAAACCACACCCCTCCCACCTCTCTGGAGAAGGACATGGACAAGAGTTCCATAGGATGAATACGTATAAACGGGTTATGATCAGCATCACTGGAATACCCATATCACTGGAATACCCATATCACTGGGATCATAGATTCTCTGCAATATGTACATTCTTCATAAAGCCTTCCCCTATCACCAGATTCTCATTGATAATTCCTTGGGCATGTATTATTTAATATTTTTAAAACTACCCTATTTATCAGATATGCAGATGACACAAAGTTGAGAGGAATGACTATGGGATACCAGTCAGGATCTGAAAAATTTTCCACAGGCTAGAAAAATGGAATTAATCTAAGATAAAATTCAATAGGGATATAACATCCTATACTTGGGCTCAGAAAATCAATTTCCCCCCAAATGGGGAAGAGTGGCAGGATGGTGAGTCTTGGTTTTGTAAAAATATGTTGTCAGATACTTTGTCAGCTGTTTTTGCTTAACTATTTTTCTTTGTTACAAGGAAAGATTCAGTGAGAGTATATTGGGAAATGACTTTTAGTTTTTTAAAATCGCATCAATAAAGCATCTATTCCTATCAGCTCTGGATCTATCATCCTATGATTTTTTGAAAACAAAAGTATGGACATGAGAATTAACAAGGTGGGATCATGGAACAATAAACAGATCCGCCTGACTGGATTAAAGGGGTTTGTATTAAGGAGCTATGAGAAACAGGATGGCTAAATTGTAGGGAATTGAGGTAAGAGAATTATTTTAAAAAATTAAAAGCCAGGTAGGAGAGTTAAACCAAGCAGCCAGGGCCACATGGACTTTTGTGCTAGGAAGTGATATAATGAAATCAGTATTTTAGATAATTTAGGTTGTTATCAGCATATCAGAAAGGGGGGTAACTCAGAGATAATCTGAAGTGAGAAATGACAGGATTTAGTGACAGATTAGATACAGCAAGTAAAAAAGAGAGGTAAAACAAAAACAATAAGATGATATCTTCTCTTCCCTTTCAGGTTCTCATGCCATCTACTCTTTGAAGTGCTACACTCCACAACACAATGAGTTTTGCTAGAGAATGTGAAAATTTGAAATAAGACTAAAGCATCAGAAACAATGAATAAAAAACCAGAGATGAAATTCAGGTAGTTTTTTTTTTCTCAACACTGTTTGCCCATTCCCTATCTCCCATCTCTCTCACATACCTTAGTTATGGAATTTCATAATTTAGAATGAACTTCAGTTGACTGGTCTAATTTATTAATTTTACTTAAAATTTTTTAAAAATTAAATTTTAAAAAATGAAGATCTGCCTTCTTTCATTCTTAAATCTCCTCCCCACAATGAACAATCAAGAAAAAAAAAATCCCTTATGCAAATACATATAGTCAAAGAAAACAAATTCCCCAAACTGCCCATTTCAAAATAAAAATATCTCAATTTCTTTCAAGAGGTGGGTAGCCTGTTTCATCATGAATCCTCTGGGATTATAGTTGGTCATTGTGATGATCACATAACTTATTAATTTTACAACAAATAACCATGGTCATTAGAGGCAAAATAATTTATCTATGGTCATATAGTTAATTAACAGAACAAATAAGAATCTAGATCACTTGACTCTCAGTTCAGGTACTTTGCCATGATACTTTCTTAGGGTTTTCAGACAATGAGGCTAAACTATTAGCATATCTCACGTACTAGGTGGCCAACAATTATTGTCATAGGATCAGAGATCTGAAGTTGGAAGGGAAGTTAAGAGTCTGCCTAGTCTAACCTCTTCGTTTTACCGATGAGGAAACTGAGCCCCACAGAGGTTGTGACTTGCCCAAGCAGCATATAAAACCAATAAGTAGCAGAACTGCAAAAGGCTACATGAAATGGGTCATCCTTCTGAGGTACCAAAATTTCTATCAATTATCAGATTCATTTCTGTGGGCAATCTAATCCTAACATTTAGGGCAGTAAATGAGAAGCAGAATTGATTTATTATGGAGTCATTTTTAAGAAGCAGAAAGACTGCTAGAGCTGTGAAGTGGTCCAGCTACTCTGGAAAGTAATTTTGAATGATGTTTCCAAAGTCACTAAATTACGAAAACTCTGATCCAGCAATACCATTACCAAGCTTATACTACAAAGAGACCAAAGAGAGAAGGGATTTATATGTACAAAAAAAAAGTATAGTAGCATTTTTTGTTATAGTGAAGAACTAGAAATAAAGTTGGTGGCCTGCTAATTGGGGAATGGTTGAACAAATTAATGGTGTGTAAACATAATGGAACATTATTGCTAAAAAATTATTTTAAAAAAAGGGTAGATTCAGAAAATCTGGGAAGATCTATATTAACTGAAGCAGAGTGAAGTGGCTATAACTAGAACAGTTTATACAATGACCACAACGTTGTAAAGCCAGGTCAACAAGTCAATAACCATTTATGAAACACCTACTATGCACCAGGCACTGTGGTAAGCACTGGGGATACAAACAAAGGCAAAAACAGTTTCTGTCCTCAAGGAGATTATAATCTGATGGAAGGAGACAACATGAAATCAATTGTATACAAGAAAAGATATACAGGATAAATTGGAGGTAATCTCAAAGGGAAGACACTAGCATTAAAGGGGACCAGGAAAAGTTTCTTGCAGCAGTTAAGATTTCAGAGGCAGCTAGGTGGCACAGTGGATACAGCACCAGACCTGGAGTCAGGAGGACCTGAGTTCAAATCTGGTCTCAGACACATAACACTTACTAACTGTGTGACTCTGGGCAAGTCACTTAACCCCAATTGCCTCGAAAAGAAGTTGAGATTTTAGCTGAGACTTGAAGAAATAGAGTAGGGGAGAGAGAACATTTCAGGCATGGTTGTACAGCCAATGAAAATGTCTGGAATTGGGAGATGGAAGTGTCTTGTGGGAAGAACATTAAGGAGGCCAGGGTCATTGGATTATAAAGTAGATGGAGAAGAGTAAAGTGTAAAAGGACTGGAAAAAAAGGAGTAAGTCAGGTTATGAAGGGCTTTAAAAACAAAACATGGTTTTATACTTGATCTAGAGGTAATAGGGAACCACTGGAGTTTACTGACTGGAGAGTGATATGGTCAGACCTATGCAGCACAAGTCTGTAAAAAACTTCTCGTTTGATCCTCACAACAACCTTGTGAAATAAGTACTATTATTATCTCCATTTTATAGATGAGGAAAGTGAAGCTGGAAGAAGTTAAATAACTTGTCTAGGGTCACATAGCTAGTAAGCATCCAAGGAAGGATTTGAACTCAGGTCTTTCTGAGTACAAGCCCCCTCCCCCTCCTCTATCCTCTATTCCATATAGCTGCCCCTATGCCTTTTAAGGTTTATGATCTATGGAATGGTCAATCACATCTCCAGAAGACTGATAATGATTCATGTGTTCCACTTCTTAACAGAGAGGAAATGGAGCAGAGATCTAGAATGAGAAATATATTTTCAGACTCTGTGGATTTGTTTTTCATGACTATATTTGTTTGTTAAATGGCAAAGTTTTTATTTGGGCAGGAAGGGTGTGTTGTGAGGGAGAGCTAGGAAAGAACTACAGGATACTTATAGTGATACTAAAAAAAGAAAGAAAATGTCAATGAATCATTTTAAAATATGAACAGAAGAGAGCAAAAGGGAGTTTAGAAAGGGACAGACACAAGCAGAACATTGTTGTAACTACCATTAAATCTGAAATATAAAGCAAAAAACTCAAGCTGTATGGCTTCATAAATCTTTTTCTGTTCATGTTCAGAGGAATGTTCATGTGTGCTAATATTTGTCATGTTCATGATAAAAGGAAAATTGGCAATAAAATTAAATTAAAAGCAGGCAGAGCCTCAGTAGAGAGGGGTGGAACACAGATGTAGAATGAGGCATACATTTTTGGATGAGCCACTATGTTGATTTGTTTTGCTAGTATACACTTACTTATTACAAAAGAGAAGAGTCTTTAGGATGTACTAATAATGTGGGGAAAAAAACAAAGAATCAATAATACAATTTAAAAAAAAAAAGAAAATCAGGATTGAATTCAGAGAGAACATTGGACTGGGAGTTGAGATATACAAGTTCTTGTCTTGGGTCAGACAGAAGCAAGTGCTTTACCTCTTCTACGATGATCTCAAAGGTCCTTCCCAGCTCTAAATTTATGATACTATGATGGGAGGGAGCTGGGAAGGAAATTAGTATTTATATAGTGCCTAGTATGTGCCAAGCCCTGTGTTAGGTTTTTTACAAATATTATCTCATTTGATCTTTAAAGTTCCTTTCAATTCTAACATTTTAACAAATTCAGTTCTTTATTTATCCTTCTTTAGAGTCACTTATTTCCAGAGTTAGTAGTGTTGGTATCAAAAGAGCAGAGTCTACAGGAAGATCTTTCTTTAAGGGAAAAATGTCAAAAAAAAATGCTTAAAAATAGTAGTGTGCTTCCTAGTGAAATCACCATCTCCCGAAGTCACAAACATTGGATGTTTGAGATACCTGTGTTTAGGCGCCTACATTTGATGTTTACACGTTTCTGTTTTGTGTCCTCTTACTCATTTTCACGTGTTTTTCAAGACACCAATAAAACACAGGTTTCTTTCCTAAGGGAGCTTACAATGCAATCCTTTGTTAAGTCTCTGTCAGAGTCTACATCCAGTAGAAGGCAGCTATTTGAATTAATGAAGGATGGTCTTGAAGTTAGAAGTCTGGATCTCCAACTTTCTATCTGTGGGGTAGGTACCATGACCCCTTCACCTCCTAGACCTCTTTTCCTTTTCTGTAAGGATCAGGCAAGGCACAGCTAGGTGGTGCAGTGGATAGAGCACTGGCCCTAGAGTCAGGAGGTCCTGAGTTCAAATCCGACCTCAGACACATAACACTTATTAGCTGTGTGACTCTGGGCAAGTCACTCAACCCCAATTGCTTCACCAAAAGGAGAAAAAGAAATACAATGTAAGGATCAGGCATTGGACTATTAGATGATCTCTACCAGTTCCTTACAGCTCCTTGGATCTGCAGGATGTGGACCCTTCAGGAGCCGGAAGGGGAGAGAGGGGGAGGGAATGACCCATGTGATAACATGTGGTCCTTTCTTTGTGCCTCTGACTAGTCTGTACACCTGTTTAATACATTTTTCCGGCACGGTTAAAGTAATTTGTTTTAATTGACTATTCTTATTATTTATACAAAGAAGTGTTCCATGGGAGTGGGTGGCAATTAACGTCAATGACAATATTTTAAAAGAGCATCAATAAAACATAAAACAACAACAACAAAACCCTGCTCCACGCACTCCTCCCAACAGAGTTCTCTATCTCTCATGCACAAATAGCCTCGAGGCCCCGCCCCCCGCCCCCCTGCACTGGGGGGGGTCTGAGGGTGCGCGGCTTGCTGGGAAATGTAGTTCATCCTCAGAACCGCTTTAACCCTTAAGATTCAGGACCCAACACTTGTTTTTCTACCTCGTTCCGAGATCCAAGAAATCCCAATGGCTCCGGGTGGGAAGTCTTTCCCCTCCCCAGCCCAGGGTACCCGACTGGCTTCGGAGCTGCTTCCCTCTGCTTCCTCATCACCGAGACCTCTCGCATCGCTCGGAGAAATGGAGGTGAAATCAATGTCAAGGGCCATTCGGAGCCCGGATGGGACCTGGCCGCCGCGCACACACACGCAACTCACCAGGGTGAGGGCTGCCCGGATGGGCTGCAGCTTCCTCTTGCTCACCGCCCGGACTGTGGCTCGCACCAATGAAGCAGACATCTTTCCCTCCTTCGCCTCCTCCACCTCCTCCCCCCTCCTTTCCCTTTCCAGGGAGGTCCTGCGGCAGCTCAGCCGCTCTCCATGGACACGGTCGGCAGGCGCGCTGACGTCACAAGCTGCCGCACGCGGCACGACGTGTCCCCCGCCCCTCCCCTCCTCCCCTCTCCTATTGGACAAAAGTCAGTGACTGACAGGAAAGGAAGGACCTGTAAGGGGTGCGAGGGAGTGTCGAGAGTCCCGGGCCGGCACTTGGGGTTTCCTGTGTGACGAAGGGCGTGACCGCACAACGAAGTTAACGTACTCTTGCGTCACGACGCTGGAGAGAAAGACGTCAGAGCGAAGTTGGGGATTTTGGCGCGGGGGGGGGGGGGGGGGCCCCGAGGGTTGTGGTGTTCCCTTTTCGTGAAACTTTATTGGGAAACATGATATTTCCTACTTCTTTGGATCCAGGCAGGCAGAATCAGATCGTATTGCCCACAAATAGGGCAAACACCGCCCCGCCGCTCCGCTCCCCCCCCCGAGTTTAGCAGTGTTTATCCGAGGTATGCTGGTAAATATTGCTTTTTGAGGGGGAAAATGTATGCAGGACACACTTTTGAGTTTAAACTGCATGATTAACATATTCTCTCCATCACCTTAAGCCTACACAGCCAACAAAACATTTAAGTCCTAACAGATTTCCAGCGGTGTAAACATAAGTACTCCTGCTGAAAATTTAACAATCCTGTAGGTCCAGCTGGCTCCAGGAGGCCCCTAATTATGGCACTACTCTGGGGCCTTATGGCTTATTAAAATGCTTTTTCCGCCACAATCCTATGTAGGTTGTGCAAGTATTATTATGCCCATTTTACAGATCGAGAAGCTGAGGGGGATGGGGAAAGTGGGTAGTTGCCCGTGGTCACGTGGTAGTAAGTGGTAGGGCCATGCGATGACTGCAAGGCTCTTCCCTCCTAATCCAGAGCTCTTTGTGTCTGGCTGCTGCTGCTCAGCAGGAGGCCGCACAATCAGCATCCTCCTAAAGTGTTGCCTGGACGAATTACATTTGTATAATCAAAAGAGCTCACGTTTGTGTAGGGCTTGCTGGCCAGAATACTGCACCAAAGCAATTAGGTTTTGCAGCTGAAGTAAGGAATGGCTAAAATGTTTGTTGTTACTTTTCAGTGGTATCTGACTCTTCATGTCCCCATTTGGGGTTTTCTTGGCAAAGATACTGGATCGGTTTGCCATTTCCTTCTGAGGTTCATTTTCCAAATGAGGAAACTGAGGCAAACAGGGTTAAGTGACTTGCTTAGGGTCGCACAGCTAATGTCTAAGGTCATATTTGAACTTGGGAAGATGAGTCTTCCCTGACTCCAGGCCTGAGTGAGGCCTATCCACTGGACCACCTAACTGCCCCCAAAGTGTTTATTAGGCACTTAATGGGCAAAGCATCATGCTAAGGGCTGAGGATACAAATGGAAAAGTGAGACCATCCCTGCTCTCAAGGCGCTCAGAACAATGAGGGAGAGGACACTTAGAGATGGTTTCAGCTGCAAGTCAAATGGAAATGTCCTAGAGTGCTTAGAGTCTAGTGGCAAAGTAAATATTAACGCCTCTTCTTTAATGTCATTTCCACTGATAACATCATAGCAGTTCTGATGTTGAACCATTTGACAGTGCCAAAGACTTTAGTGATAAGAACTTTATTTTCTGAGTCTTCAATAAGTGTGGCTGGGGTCCCTTCAGGAGCGGTTGCCAGGCTGCATTTCCTCAGGGCTGCTTCTCAGGGCTGAAGCCTGAAGGCACTTGGCTGGAAGTATTACTATTCCCAAAGCTTTTGGGTTCAGAATCCTGGGCTCTCTCCATCAGGGCCTAAGAGGAAATGGTGGTCAAGCCTGTGGTGGTGGCCTGACATGCCTGGCATATTCTGCCTCCTCTCTCTCTCTCCCAGGTCAACTTGTTGCTTTAGCAACAATTGGCTTGATATGAGAAGCAGTTGGTTGGCAGTTTTTGAGAATGCTTGATACTTTTTTCACAGGACTTGCCTCCTCAGATGATGGCTGGTTATACTAGGCTGGAAGCAGGACTGTTGTTCTGGGAGGTGCTGCCACTCCCAGGGATCCTGTGTCTGTGGATGCCAGTTGGCCACCTGTTGCTGGTGGTGATAAGGAAGGTGGGTCCCTTCTCCACAGTGATTTCTCCCCTCATTGTTGGCTGTGGGGGCTGGGTTGGGAGCAGGTCTGATGGTTTGAGGGGACATTGCTATTCCCAGCATTCTTGGGCTTAGGGTCCTGGGCTGCCTCCATCAGGGTCTGAAGGGAGATGGAGGTCAGGGTGGTAGTTTGATTTGCAAAGCACATGATACTGCCTCCTCTTACTCCAGCAGGTTGCCTTGCTGCTTCAGCTAGCTTAACAGCTAAGTATACTAAAGACCAAGATGGGTGGAGAACATGTCCTGGCCTTTTGTCCTGGCTCAAATTCATTTGCATCTTAGCCAGAGATGTTAGTGGAATATGCAAGAGTGATAAAAGGGGCTAACAGTAAGTATTTATCTGAAATAGAAAAGGACATATCTAACCTTGGTACTTTTAGACCAAAGAGCTGTCTGTCTTGTGTTACTACTATACCCCAAGAGAATAAAGGCCCAGAAATGCAAAAATCATTCCAGCAGACACAATACCCAGTGAGAAGCAGAAGCTGGGGAAAGTGGTGTAGAGATGCTACTGTGTCCACTGAGCAGGCACAGACAAGATACCACTGTGCCCTGCAAGAAGCAAGCTTAACAAAGGACACCAGCAATTCTGGCATGGAGCAGGTCCATCAAGGTCAGTGGAGCTACCATTTCAGTGGAGATGTCATGCTCAATGAGGAGCAGGCCTACTGTGGACAGTGCAATAACCGTCCCTAACTTAACATCGTCCCCGCAGTGAGTTGACACTCCACACATACTCCTCACCTGTGGATTTATCTCTCCAATGTGACTCCTATGCAGGGTTGTGTGGGAGCCTGCTCTTATCAGTTTATCAAATATTTAGTGTGAGCGTTTACACCTCAGAAATCAAACACTACAAATCAAGATTTGATTTATTGTTTTATTGATTGTTTGGATTTAAGCAAGTGGTGGAGAAAATGTTAATGATGCAGATTAAACTTAAAATTGTGCATGCATTTTTTTTCTTTCCGTAAGCCACTGTGTGTCGATAATCCTCCCTGTAATGGAGTGCTCTTGGCTACCTATCCCAAGTGTCCACAGAGCTCTGTGTCTTCCTATGCAGACATAGTCTAGCAAGGTGACTGACTCATGGTGACTTTTTCCTTAGATTTCCCTATCAGGCTTCAGTTTGGTGTGTTTTCTAGATCTCTTTGGAGGACTTTTGTTGGGGAGAGCTTGCTGTATTTCTACCTCCCAGTCTTCCATCATAGCTCTGCCTCTGATCCAAAAAGATTTTGACTAGTTAGAACATTGATTGAATCTAATAAGATGAAGTTCAATAGGGATAAATGTAAAGCCTTGCACTTGGTTATAAAAAAATAACTTCACAAGTATAGTATGGGGGAGACATGATTAGATAGCAGTTGTTCTGAAAAGGATCGAGGGGTCTTAGTGCATTGCAAGGTACGATTGTAATTGCATTATAACATGGCAGTCAAAAAAAGTGAAAGTGATCTTGGACTGCATCAACTTTTAGGAATAAGGAAGGGTTGGTCCCACTGTACTCTACTCCTGTCAAACTTCATCTGGTGTATTACATTCATTTCTGGACGCTACTAGTTTAAGGACATTAATTAGCTGGAGAGTGTCCAAGCAGTTTGGTTCACTGTCTTGGCCACAGAGAACAAATTGTTCTCATCCACTCATTCTGGTCAGGACAAGTCTTCACATGTTTGTGGTAGAAATCCCCCTAAGTCACTGACAGGTTTGAGGTCTGTGAAGTTACCCTCCACCTGGTTTAGCCCATCTGTCAAGATGGCTTTGCTGGGGTGTGGCCACTGCACAAGGTTATCCGCTGCATACCAGGCCATTGCCATCATCTTGACTTTTGTCCTGCCACTGGACTTCAAAGATTCTGGAAGGGAGAGTGAGGCTGAGGACTTTGCTCAATTCTGCCTCATTTAAATCTAAGTCATGTGCAAGTCAAGACACTCTTGTGATGTCATTGGTTCTCTTCAAAAACAAAGGACAACAACATTTATGTGGCATGTTTAAAGTTTGAAAAATGCTTCACATTTGAACAGGGCAAATACCCATAGAAGGCAATGGGAAAGGAGAAAGCTAGAATAAATGGTACTAAGGAGCAAAATAAGTCATTCTGTCAAGGTCTTCACTGTCATGTCTTCACTGAACGATGAAGTATGTAATAGCTGGAACAAGTTACAAAGAGAGCAAGTTTCACATGGTGCAAGACATGAACCAGAGCTCTGAAATATTTCTTTAAAGTACAATTATTCTCCTCTCCCCTAGGAATGCATTAGAAAGAAGGTTAATAAAAGATAGTTGTCATTCTGCCTAAATACTAAGAAAATTACATTTATAATTTTAATTTAATCATTCAACAAACATTAAGTGTGACCTATTTCCAAAGCATTTAGACAATTAAATGAAGCTTCTTTCCTTATAATCCATATTACCTGTCTGCCTTGCACATAGAAGAGAGAGCCATAAGGATGGTAATTGTCTAAAATTACCTCGTGTTCAGTTTTTTCCTCCAACTACTGGTTATTATTAAAAAAATGGATACAATTTGTTTTAAGTAGAATGTAAAAGTTACTCTCAAATGCTGTCAGAAGCATGTATATGATAAATCATAGTAACTATATATCCATCCATCTATTCATTCATATTTCTATCTATATTTAGTGTGTAAATGAGGGTTCAAGCTTGGATCATTTGCATAAGACTCTTCTTACCGGTGGAGAAAGTGATTCTCAATGCTGCTTGCTTGTAGGAGGAATGGAGTTGTGGAGAAAGCTTGGAAGTAGAGAGGTTTTCTTGGTTCTTGCTTCTCTCCAGGGAAAATCCCAAAGGGAAAGGGAGCTGACTTGGGAAGAAGACATGAAGAGGAGCTGGTATTTCAACATGTCCCTGATTTACAACTTGCCTTTTTAAAGACTTCAGGGAATTTCATATATATCTATCTATAGCTATAAATACAGATGTATAGATATGTGTATATAGGTATACACACACACACATATACACACACACACACACACACATACATACATACATACAGACACACATACACACACTTGCTCCAGTGAGAAAGCTCATTTATTCTGTGTATTATACCTGATCTATTATAATCTGTATAACTTCTCTGATTTCTGTTTGCTATCTTCTTGGATAAATGGGTTTATTTGCTACTCACTGTGGTGATCTTTTGCATAACTAACATTTTGTAGGGGGTCAATCCTTAGGATATAAGCTTGGAATACTCCTTCCTCTTTAAGGGACAGCGACATAGGAAGGTAGTTTGAACTCAGGAACACAATAATTTTCTCCCATACAATTTAGTTAGGTGAGTTTTCAGAGATATTTTCTCATCACTCCCTGTGAGCCACATTTTTTTTTTGTTTTGTTTTGTTTTGTTTTTTGGGTTTTTTTTTTTTTTTTTTTAGGCAACTGAGGTTAAGTGACTTGCGCAGGGTCACACAGCTAGTATGTGTCAAGTGTTTGGTCTGAGGCCAGATTTGAACTCAGGTACTCCTGACTTCAGGGCCAGTGCTCTATTCACTGTGCCACCTAGCTGCCCCTCTGTGAGCCACATTTGGATACTCCACTCAGACAAACAACATCACCTACACGAGTTCCACATACACATTAAAGGTGCATTTAACATTCAGTGAGCTCTATTTTGTATATAAACTCTCAGTTCAGGTAAATAGGTACTATCTAGTGTCAGTAACAAAAAACACTGAGTGGTCACTTTTCCCCAGAGTTTCCATCATTTCTATCCCAGAAAGCTAGCTTCTCTATTAGTAAGAATCACCAGAAGAGAATTTCCACTTATTGGTTCCTCCACTTTCTGAAGGATGAAATTATCACTAAGGCAACCCAAGAAGTTATTAACTGTTCTGCTTTTGACAGAGGGAGGGCTTTGGCATATGTAGTCTCAATTACTACCATAATCATACCTCTGTGTAAGGCTTTTGACCTGTTTCCCAAACTCAACTAGTTTCTCTTTCTGTCTAGGTGCCCTGTATTTTACTCTAATGACAAAATCACCTCTTGATCTCCCTACTCCAGCACCTTTTACCTACCCTGTTTCTTTCGAATCCAGAGCCATGGTCCAGTTATGAGTTTCATCCCACTAAGTATCAGTAGTTCCTCTTCTTGCCTAAGGTTTGGGCATTTGTATATAGACATTGGAGGACATGGGTTTGATTACTTACGCTATCCTTGGATTTTGTCTCCTGTGAACTTCTACTATTGCTCCTTCTTTGTGGTTATACTTTAACTAGGGAGATGTATGTAGGCTGTTCTCTTCATTCTTTTTTAGTTTATATCAGTTCTGGTTTTTGTATAGCATTTGACAAATGCATCCCTACCAGCCTTTGTTAGGTGTATTCCATCTTTGGCCAGGAATATGTCATTTCTGTGTTGTAAGCCATGGTCCAGAAATCCATATCCCATTCTCAGATACCACCTTCATAGCCAACTGTTCATTTCCCAAATTAGCTTTTCTTTTCTGCATCCCTTGCCTGCAGTAGATAACAATGAGGAAAAAAGAATCTGTATCCCTAGTGGTTTTCAGTTTCCTACTCAAGATTTCACAATTGCTGGCAGTATTTTTTAGGTTGCTTGTGAAAATGTTATTTGTACTTATATGAATCACCAGAAGTGGGTAGTTGTCATCCATTTTTTAAGTCTTGGTAGGTTTTCTGTTAAAAATCTTTAATACATGCCCAGATAAGACAGCAAACATCCCTTCTACTGTGATCAGACCAACAAATAGCTGCCTTATTACCACAGAGGAGGGAGTGACAGACCACTTCTACTCTTCCTGTGACCCTTACTGGATGATCTCTCACTTGAGAACTTCTTTGGTCCTATATCATTCTTAGGAGGATAAGTAGCTTCTTCCTCCTTAGAGCATCTAACCCTCTCCTCTTTAAGAAAAGCCTCAATTCAGCTTTTAAGCTCTAATTGTACAGCTGTACTTTCCTTTCCCTTTTCCCTCTGTTACACCCTTCATTTCCTTGACATCCTGATGATTCATCTTGGATCTTTATGGTCCAAGTGAGCAACTCACAAATTCAGTTCTTCTCGTGCTAGCTATCTTCTCTGACAAGCTGTCAGAGCAACTTGATGATAATGAAGAGGGTCTGGAGCAGGGAGATCAAGAAGTGATTTTGTCGTTAGAGTAAAATACAGGGCAACTAGACAGAAAGAGAAACTAGTTGAGTTTGGGAAACAGGTCAAAAGCCTGACATAGAGGTATGATTATGGTAGTAATTGAGACTGCAATTATTCTTTCAGACATATGCCAGAGCCCTCTCTCTGTCAAAAGCACAGCAGTTAATAACTTCTTGGGTTGCCTTAGTGATAATGATAATGAAGAGCAACTAGAACCCAATTCAATAACTTTCAACATCTTGAACTCATTACGTCACTAACGGAGGTGGGGGTGGGGGGTGGAAACATTTCTCAGGATTGCTATTTGGTGACTTGAGCCCAGGTAAAGAAACTTAAAACAGAAGAGGTAGCCAGGTACTTGAGGTCCAGTGTCAAGCTCACCAAAGTAAGTATATGTTATGGCTGCCAAGTGCTCTTATCTGTCATATCTGCTGGGGATGGAAAGAGAAACCTCCCCTACACTGCTTGCTGAAAGTTAGAGATATGTCCCCAACTTGGCAGGGCCCCAGAAAAGAGGGAGGGGGAGCTATTTTATAGCTCTTATAGCTTGCTAAGGGGGTGGCTGTTCCTGGTAATTACCTTTGTTACAATCTCCAGCCATGGGGAGGTATAAGAGACCAAATCATAGGGCTCAGTAGAAGGGCCCAGAGGATTTGCCCAATAGCATGGGAGGTGCCTCAGTCAGGCAAATTGGAGAGGGAGAGTATCCCCTGATTTACCCCATTACACAAAGAAAAATGTAAAATTGTCCTCATTCCTGGGA